GCTCTGAGCAACCTATCCCTGGGCCGTGCCTGCACTTGCAGCAGGGCTCTGCTGCAAATAGATGTCTTTGCTGCCTAACCCACCACTTCTAACTCCTGTGGGTTGTGCTGCCCCTGAGCAGTACAGTTTGGCTTAATCGCCAGTACAGTTATGGATTTCCAAAAAGGAGAAATGCTCTCTGGCTCGTCCTTCGATTGGCCTCAGCTGTATTCAAACTTACTTTGCTACAAAGTGAAAAGGTTGATCTGAAGACAGATTTCCCTTAGCCACTACTGGCTGTTGCTGTAACACATAATCATGCTAGAGCGGCTCAGAAAATCCACCAGGCTTGGTTCCCTTTAAGGTGACTGGCGGTTAGTGAGTGACAGATCCTGCCACTTACTGCTCGTTTGTTACCTTCTGAATTATGTTGCACCAGGTAGTTTGCAAAGAGGTACAACTGCAGCACTCAGGTCAAGTTAGCTAAAATTATAGTACATGTACAGTGCTCAGTTACTTGTAGCACTCAGGAAAGGTGCATTATGCATGTGTAAGTGGTAGAGAGGAGTGTTGTGTCGCTTTGCTATTTATACAGATCACAGAATCACAGAATGGCTAAGATTAGAAGAAACTCCTCACCCGGTTTCCTTGCTCAAGCAAGACCACTTAGTGCTGATTCCCCAGGACAGCTTTTGGCCGTCTCTAAGGAAGGAGACTCCTCAACCTCTCTGTGTAAGCTGTGCCACTGCTTGGTCACCTACACAAGAAAGAAGTTGCTGCCAGTGCTCCTTCTACAGCACCCCAAATTATCTGCAGCCTTGTTTGCAGCAAGGACATGCTGCTGGCTCAAGTGCCACTTGGTATCCACTGGGACACCAGGATGCCATTCAGTAGGCCTGGCACTTGCCCAAACCAAAATGATTTCCTCCAGTGCAGTATTCTAATTCGAACGCATAAGGCCATTTTCTATAAGATAGGAAGCACAAGAGAGGTGTATTTAGATCTGTTCTTATAGCAGTGCTTTTAATTTAGGGGTAGATGTACTGTGCCCAGATTGAGGGCTCGTCAGACGTGAGGGTGACAACAGTGAACTGCTGCCCATCCCAACACATGCCAAGAGCCCAGACGTCACCGCTTTGTAAATTCCCAGTCTCCAGCAACCAGTAGCTCAGGGATGGAATTGTGTATAGATTGCCAGGACAAGCTAAATGAAAAAAGAACGAAGTGTGCCTGGAAAACGAATCACTAGGATTCATCAGAACTAGCTGAATGAAAAGAGAGGTAAAAATGCACCACCCTGATGGACTTATGATGGTGACTGAAGGCACAGTTGGACAGAAGCATTTCCTCTAGGAGACAAAAATTTCCCTTCCTTCCTCGAGACCTTCAAGTGACCCTACTGAATTGTTAAAATTCCATTAGAAAGCAGTTGGTGGGAACATGTGCAATAAATAGCTGCTAAAATCAAAGGCTGCCTCGCTGATACAAAATCAATGCATTGCTTGCTGGTGGTGCAGGGCAGTGTTTTTCTCTGGGAAATGTAACAGTGATTGGGTTTAAATATAGCGGCACAAAGCTTTACCTGAACTCATTAGTGACACAGGCTGATTTCAGGGGAAGTCAGAAAATACCCATTGCCCACAGACAAGACTTTGTGGTGATCACTCACCTTGGGTGCTACAGCTTATGGCAGTCCATTGGGAAGTGCTACAGAACAGAGCAAAATTACTGCAATTGCTCCTGGAAGAGCAGAGATTTCAGGTCGCTCACACCATCCAGCCAAAATCAGCACTCCCTGTTGAAGCCTTGAGTGAGCCCCACACCAATGGTACTGCTGTAACAGCCACCACTCTCTCTCTCCTCTCCCAGACATTCTGCATGCACTGTGGGTGTAAACCCCGCAAGCCAGAGATGCAACCAGCAGGCAGTCCCACACCTGCTGCCAGCAGCACTCACTTTGGTTTGGGCTGGGACCCTCTCAGAGGGTTTCTCCCTCATCACAAGCATCATTTTCCTGCCAGATGCTCAGCTACATTGCTTCAGTGAAAACAGGCATTAAGGCAGTTGCTCTACCTACATCCTGTTTTGTAATCTCACCATTTAATTACAATATTTTTTCTTCCCCTACAAATCACCTAATGTCATTTCCCAAGGAGAGCCCTCATCTCTCTTGGTGCTTATTGCAGCACAGCAGCTATTAGCACTGCTGCTTGCAGAAAGGTGTATCGTTAAACCAGAGCTCTTTTGGAGTAGGTTTCTAAATGGGGAAACCTCCCTGAGTGAGAGACAGAAATGGTACCTCAATCAGAACGAGGAGGTGAGGTGGGTGTTCAGGACCTGTTGGCTTAATTAAGAGCTTCTTCTCAGCCTCAGAAGAATTGCTACGTGTCTGAAATAGCTGTAAAGAACACTGCAGGGATGATACAAATTGTACAAAATGTAAACTTTGTGATCTACTTCCCTACTGTGGAATAGAGAGTTTTAAAAACGGTTAATATATTTCCTTGCCTATTAATCTTCTTGATCAGATTTAAATGTGTTTGTTTGGATGAGTATTAGAACAGAAACCAATCACAAAGAGGTTAAGTCCCATCAGGGACCTGAGCTCTGGATCCCACTTAGCTCTCATCACTACCAGCACTGCCTTCTCCATACACATGTACACACACACACAGGGTTTATTAAGCCCCAACAGCAAATTGATTTTGTGTCTGGGAAGAAAACCCTCAAATACAAGCCTATAAATAGATGATGCACTGCTTTTCTGGCTCAGTAAATAGCCTGAAAAAGCACTCTGATGAGGCACAAATTTGCAGTGCCCCCCTTTATTTCACCATTCAGCATGAAGTTGGAATGTTCATTACTGTGATGGGAGCTGCCCATGAAGGAAGTGAAGACAACTTTCTGAATTTCTCTAGCTTTCAGGAAATAAATCTGTATGGAAAGGAAACAGATCCTAATAATCTCCCTCTCGAGAGAAACATCAGATGACTTGACATGAAAAGTGTTGGGAACCAGCGCAAGCCACAAAGGGACCAGAACAAAGCAGGATGTGCCAAAGCAGAGAGCCACATGAGATATATCCCACAGGGGCTGCCACTCCAAGGTGTTCCTAACTTAGAAGGAATTACTAATCTTTGATGTAGCACTGACTTTGATAGAGAAAAAATGGATGTCATCATTGAATAATCCTGTGAGTGATGTGAAATTCATCTGTATTATGCAAACCAAAAGAAGCATTTCCCCTTATACAAAAGTTATAAAGTCTTTGTCATACGGTTCACCTCTTTACTGCATTTACTACAAATGTCGGATTTGCTGTTAGGATTTCCACATTTCTGTTCTTGAAAGATTTGTCAGAAATTAACTGTCGGAAAATCACAAGTAGTCAACTCCCTCTCAGCAATACTAAGGGGGCTGAGTTTCCCAGTCTGAGAGGAAAAGTCAGGACATGCCCAAATTTCCCATTTACTTCTAGGTAGGCTTCTTTGAGCTAATAACAGCATGTGAAATACCAGGTCCAAACATGAACATGCTTTGAATATTTGCATCAGTCACACAGAGAAATTCACAGAGAAATTCGTGAGACCAGTTTCAGCTTCAGTGAGGACGGATACACCACAAAAAAAAAAAAAAAAAAGAATGATCACAAAGCTGCATGCATCCCAATCATCTCACATTTTTGGAGCAGGAGAGATGATGCTCAAAACACAAACACATCCCTACCCCTTGCACTGCCTAGCTCGTCACTTCAAAAAAGGCCAAGATAAGCAGATGAGGAGTTTGGCAAGGCACCAAGGAACTGATTTTTTTTTTTTTTTTTTTTTTTTTTTTTTGAGATATTTAAATGCCAAGACATCATCAAGCTCCCAGAAGGATTTTCAAAAGCAGTTAGGAACCCAGGCTGTGACAGAGCATTGGTCCTTCTGACAATCCCCTATGGTATCAGATCCTCTGATGTACCAACACCTCTGGTTCCTTCTGCTCTTCCCAAGAGAGACCTCTTTGACTGCAGCAGGGTTGGCTTTTGCCATGGAAAGCAGTGAAATCTCTTTCAGTTCTCTAATTTACCTACTTACTTCCTCAGAAAGGGAAAAGATTATCCCCCTCTTCCTGCCTAATGAAAATGACACTGCCCTGTGGACTATCTTAATTGGAACTGTAAGAGAAGGCCTGGCTGTGGCCACACGGATCTTTGCTGTACAGAGAACCATTTGCTTTGATCTGATCGAGGTTTACTTGCCTCAGATCTCCCCATGCTGCCTCTCTGATCTGACGGTGCAAATCTGCAGTTTCTTTTTTGGGTAGAAGTCCCTCTCAGACTGGCGAATGACGCAGAGGCTGCAGAGTCCATCCCGGTCCCACCGGGTGCTGACAGACCAAATGCTGACCTCTCTATTTACACGTCTGTGCTTGCAATCGTGATGCCTGTGTGGAATCACAGGGCTGCTGCTTGCATTCTCTACTCAGAAACGCGATACCCATCTATTGCACAAAGAACTGCAAAAGAATTGCACAAATTCTTCTCTTCTTTAGCGGAGAAAATGTTCCCTTGATGTGATAAATACCAAACGTGATTCCTGCTTTGGCTGCAAATAGCAGATTACTTAATCATCTACTATTTAAGTACCTGTTTGTTTTGTTATGAAGCAAAACTTTTGAGCAAGATCGTGTTACACATCAAGTGGCTTCCTGCATCCTTCAATATTAATCCTCACGTAAATATAGACCGAAGGGAGTCCCAGGGTCACCCGAACCAGCCTGAGCCCCGCACGGAGGGCGGCGAGGAACGGAGCGGGGCAGGCAGGGCGAAGCCCACAGGGGGCCGTGTCCGAAACGGCGGCGGGACAGCACCAAGCAGGATCAGCGCTCCCCGCAGCCGGGGCGGCAGCTCGGCGCGCACCGCGGGGAGGCCCGCCCGCCCCTCTCCGCCTCCCGGGGGCAGGGCCCGGGCCCCCCCTCCGCTGACGTCACGGTTGTCTAAAAAAACAGCCCGGCAGGCGTGCGGGGAGCGACAGGGCCGGCGGCACGGCACGGCTCGGCACGGCTCGGCAGGACGCGCCCCGCCGCCGATATGGTGTCCCCCGTCACCGTGGTGAGTGCGGACCGTGCGGCCGGCCGGCGGGCGGGCGGGCGGGCGGGCGGGCGGGGGAAGCGGGACCCGAGCACTCGCACGGCCGTCTGCCTCCGACCCCTCCCCCGCGGCTGCCCCCATACCCGCTGCCCGCAGAGCTGCTCCCCGCCGCGGCTGTGTTCTGGCGGCGCGGCTCCGGCGGCTTCTCACCTCTTCCTGCTGTTATTTTTGTAAACATCTGTACGGCAGATCTGCGTTGTGTGCGATGTATCTGCTCGGAGCGCTGATGTTTACGTCCTCCTGGGCTCGCCCACCTGCCCCGAGGCCTGGCTGCGTTCCTTGTGGCCGCTGCCCCGGGCTCCCATGGAGCCCCGTGCCCGCCGTGCCTTCTCCCCCTCCCGCCCGGACGTGCTCAGCTGGCGGCTCGGCCGGCGCTGCACGCGGATCCGGACGCTGCTTTGCCGTCTGCTCGGGTCTGCCCCGGGAGCAGCGGAGGTGAGGCGGGGATGGTGTCACCTGCCTGTCCCACGGGGAGTCAGTGAAGCTTAATTAGTGCCGTAACAGGCAGTGAGCAGCAGCTTGATGCTGTCCTTCGTGGAGGACGTGTGGTACCGAGTCCCGACCCCGCGGGTGGAGGGGATGCTGGAAGAAGACAAAGCGCTCAGTAGAACGGCAGAGAAGCTGTGCTGTCACACGCTGCTTTGCATGCTCCTGTTTCTAGAAAGCAAGGGATTTGGCTGAATGCAGCAACAGCAGCAGGTGCGGTAAGAAGAGCTGTCTGTCAGTAGAGTCGCCTGGCAGTGCTTTCCCCTCAGCACCAAACACCTATGTCGGTATCCCGTGTCCTTGTGTGACTGTCATCATCCTGATGTGAAAAGTTGTGGTTGCTGGCTGTCCAGATCCCCGCCACCCTTCCATGTTTTATCTCATAGATAGAAAGGTAGCGGTCCGGTTTTCCCCCTGTCTTTAACTCTCAGAGCCAAGGTTCAAAACTTTTAAATTCCTTTGCCAGTGCTGCACAACAGCTCGCATTGTCTGATTGCTCAGATGAATTTTCCCCCAGTCATTACCATGTACCTGGTAAGTTCATCAGCAGCTTAGGGATGACTTTTATCTTTAGAGACAGAGGGAAGTAGCCTGTAAATTACACTATTTTAAGGCCAAATGACTTATTTTTTCCTTGTGCTTTTCAGAAAGAACTGAAGAGGCCTGGTCTCTTAGTGCTGCTGTGCTAAATTCATCTAAGTAATGCTTTGGTTACAGTGAGTTGTGTACTTGTACTGCAGAAATGAAATCTTTCCCTGGGACAATGCTGGAATGGCTAAAATCTGGCAGTTCGTTTTGTGATTGAAAGGTGACAGTCCTTGGCTCTCAGGGCTGGTTAATCGGGGTGGTCTTGCAGCAAAGGGCAAGTGATTACCACATGAGTATGCACTGGGAAGGCTGTAATTAAAGAAGGCTTTACCTCTACCAGAAGGTAACTCAGGGTGGCACATGGAAACAGTCTTTTCTTTACTTGATCTTTTGTCATGTAACAACACATGCTTCTGCTCTGGCTTCATCTCTGACATACCGACCCTTTGCTTCACCAAAGGCAGCTAACGCAGGTGTGAGGCTGCAGATTGCTGGAGAGATGATGACACCAGGAGCTGTGACCGGAGCTGCAGCTGTTTATCACAGCTATAGATGTGGGAGGGCTTTGGCAGGCGCTGGTCTGATCCTCCAGAGAGATCGCAGCACAGAGCTGACATCCTTCAGTGTGTTAAGGAGCAGTGCTTTGCACACTGCCTTTGGTGCATTTTCACATAGCTCTTCTCCTGAAGGAGCTGCGGGATGGCTCTGGCGTTGGCTGTGCTGCAGCCTCAATGGGCAGGTTGGAACAGTGTTCTGTGCTGCCTGGGAGCATGGCATGGCCGCTGCACAGCTGCAAGTGGAGCTGCGTATGGGATGAGAAGGACTGAGCGTGGGCTGTAGAGCTGATGGACTTTCTTCAGCCAGTTGGGTGCTGAAGAGAACAGCAGTGGGCAGTCAGTCTGGCCACAGTGAGGTGCTATCCTTGGGGCCCAGGTCTTATCTGTGCTGCCCTGCCTTTTGCTGCATTGGTAGATCAGGTGTTTGGAGACAGTGTGACTATCTCTGCTGTTCCTGATAGGGGCACTGTCTAAGGGGCAGCACCCATGGCATAATCAAATTAGCCAGGTGAATTGATTTGTCTACAGCGTGTGTTCTCTCCCAGTGTTCTGCAGCATCAGCCTGAACAGGGAAGATACTAGAAGAACATAGCCAAAAGTGACATGGTTTTCTTTCCAGTTTTCAAAGCCTTTGTGCATAACTACAGCAGATGGCTTGGACTACTTAGGCACAACCTGATCTCCTGCATCACCCCCACTAAGACCCTCTTGCAAGAAACATGACGGTTTACTTAAAACACTGAGTTCCAGGTCTGCTGCACAGCCGATAGCTGGAAGAAATCATGCATGGAGGTATGAACCACAGAGAGGAGGCTGAGAGATACGGCGGGTAGGACTGCTTGTTAGTGCTGGCTGCCAGGTGTGCATCATGGCCCTGGGGGTTTGGCATGTCTGCAGCATTGTGCAGAGCTGTCATCTCTGTTGCTGCACAATGCAGGTATTCCAAGGGGGAAATGTGCCCACAAATACAGAAGTCTGTGGCTCAAACACCTTTTAAAGTATGGTGCCAGGTACTCAGCAGGGTAGTGTTTCAGGGTCCTGGTGGTGCTGGAGTCCAGAGAGGACAGAGTTGGGCTGTGGCAGTGAAAATATGCATATCTGCCGGTCCTGCTCCAGCTGGTGAACAGTGCTTGCTCTGGTTGGAAGTCACCTTGGAGGAAAACTTCTGCTTATTCTGCTAGGCAAGCAGGAGCATCCTGCTTAAAAATTGTTATGGCTGATATTCCTCTGATTAGAAGCTGCTTTTTTTTCTGCCTAAAATTGAGTGGGCTGAAAGCTTGAGGTTGGAGGGCAGTTTTAGCAAGCAGCACAATTGCATTATAGATATGTGAGGTTTAATTCTCTTCTTGTTCACTCATCACTGGTCCTATCTTAATAAAAGTTCTTCCTCAGGCTGCCTCATTAGTAATTTTTGTTCTAGATTTTTTTTCTCCTTAGTGGGTAAGCAGTTGTTAGCATTAAGCTGTGGGAGATTTCCTTGCCCTAAGGACCTCTCTCCAGCAGGTTCCATGACTACGCAGGGGTTGCAGATGCAGAGCAGGCGAGCCTGGAGATGTGCAGCTACTCCGGCACTTATGTGATGCTATGGGTTCAGAGAGACACTCCTTTCCCCTTAAATGAAGTTAGCTAAACTAAGCATAGGGCTTCACACATCACCTTGGAGAAATGGAATGGGACATATAAAGACATTAAGTGATGCTCTCATTCCTTTAACACGCTCTCTCCATACCTAGTTCTTACTTGGTCTAGCACAGCCCTGTTTGATTTTGCCCAGAAGCCATATATGAACAGTCCCCATCCCTTCCCTTTCATTCTCTGACATACTTGCATCTTTAGATGGAGACTGCTGGACTGGAGAAGAAGGCGTTGCTTTGGCTGCATCAAGCAAGTTGAGGCCTTGGTGCCTTCTCCTGCAAGGTGCCCTGCTGGGAACAGCCTTCATCACCCTTGGGTAGAAGCAGGGAGTCACTGTCTGGGAACAAGAAAGTCATTTACAAAAACTGGGCTAAGAAAAAGAGAGAAATATACGATATGAAAGTAACAAGTACAGGATATGGCTGGATATGGGGTGGATCCAGTTGAATATAGAAACCTGACATAAACCATGCTGCCTAAGGACTCTGCGTGCTATGCACAATTGCAGCACTAGAAGGTGTAAGCATAGTTTTAAAGGTTTGCTGTTAGAAGGTATGCTCCATGATCCTCAAACTGAAAAAAACCATATTCCACCTCAAACTATTTGAACCTTTTCTTCTGAAGCAGAGAATGTGTTAATTCTGCACAAAGGAATAAAGTATTAGCAGCCATCTAAGAACTAACTATAATGGTAGAGGGGTTTATTTTAATTGTTCTCTTTGCTTATACCCAGCATTGTTGCTTTCATTATAATTTTCCAGTTACTAAAATACATCATGAAGTGGAATTTTATTACACAGGAGGCTTGCAAACATGCACATTTACATACCACAGTGATGATTATGAAAATACGGTGCTTGTATAAAAACCAAGCCAATTTGAATGAGTTGTAGATGAGATCTCTCTGAACTCACTGAAATAAGGGGAGGGAGGCATCACCTCAGGTAAGCTTAGCAGGATCCTAGCAGCATTTCTGTCAGTCACTCCTTTCAGGAAGAGCCTTAAAGCTTTGGCTGGACAACCTGTGCTGATTTAGGCAAGTAAGTGTCCAGGTGTAGTACTGTACCATGATTTCTTTATTTTTTAAGGCTGAGCTTGGGCATTCTGGCACTGCCATTCTCATCCTTTGCTGTTGTAGTGAAAGCAGAGCTACAAAGTGCGGACTTGTCTCATGCTTTTCCCAGTCCCTCTGTGGCTGCATTAAGCAGCTAGAGCTGATGCCTGCTGCAGGCGGTGCTGTAGATTAGAGGCTTCATTAACTCGAGTGTATCGCTCGAGTCGCACGCGGCTGTTGTTCCAAGTGTGCTTTGTGTATTAAGGTTATGGGTCTGGTTCAGAAGCCTGTACTTATACATAATTCCTCTTAATGGACAGAGATGGATTTCTGTCATTCTCTTTTCAAGTATCTCCATCCAGAACACACCCAGTGTAACGGAAGAGCCAAAGTTATCTTTCTCTGTGGGTGGCTATGTAATACTGAGGAACCAATAACTCCAGTGAAATGAGGCTCTGAGGAAAAAATTGGCATCTGGCACCATGTGGAAACTTTTGAGCTATGAGAAGATGATCAGTTCTGTAATTCCCTTCCCCTGCGGAGGCTGATGTGGATATTATATTAGCACTTCGTTTTTTCACTGCCCTTCATATCACACAAATGACCAGTAGATTTGTGATTACGATGGAGATTTTGCTTACTGCAGCGTGCCCAAAATGAAGGAGACGGTTACTGTGTCTTGTGCCCTTCCTATATTCATTGCTTATACCACTATCATCTAAATAGCATTTGAGCTAATGGGCCAATGGCAGGTTTTTGTATGACAAACGTGTCAGTGTGGAGCTTCCCTCCAAGTAATGCTGAATGTGAGTGGGAATCCAGGTAACAAGGAGCAGAAAGCTGAGTCTAGGAGAGGACTGCATGCCCCCAGAGCTGAGAGGTGGTGGGTGGGCTGTGCGGGAGCCTTCCTGCCTGGCATGATTTATGGATCCATGCCAAGCATACTGCTGTGGGATGGATTTCAGACATCTGCAGAGAGCTCAGGGCTTATGCTGCAGACTGATCCACCCTTGCACAGGATGCAGTTGCTCTCTGGGTAAGTGGAACTTGTGTTGCTTGTATTGGTTTTAAACTTGCAGGTGCTAATCTGCCTGCAAACGAGGGTGGTGGCTGTTTTGGTTCACCTAGTGGTGAGCTAATGAAAACACCTGGTTTTTGCCAGCAGGCTACACTTTTTCCCAAAAGTTAGCTTATTTAAGTTAAGTTATTGCAGCACATGTACTTTTAAGAGCGAGGAAATTAGGTAAGCCATGTTACTGAAATAGCCTTCAGACTTTTTGTTGGGCTTTTGTTTATTGCCCCTCATCAGATAACATCTTGGAGACCAACATGGCACCAGTTAGTATCAGGCATTGAATTTACGATTCTGTATCAAAATAAGTCCATTTACATTAGCAGCAAGTAGTCTCTGATTGTGTTACTGCTTCAGATTGAGGGTAGGTTTGAAGCTAAGCCAGCTGCACATTTTTCAGCACGTGCTAGACACATGGGGCAGATCCTCAGCCTTATGAGTCACTGTGTCTGCTATGGTTTCAGCAGAAGTGGGCTTGTGCTGGCTGAGAGCCTGAACCCACAGCTCCTGTCTTCTGGTTTTGTTGTGGCCTTAGTCAGAGCTGGCTTGTGTTCTGCTGCAAGAGACTAAGCCTGTTGCATGGCTTTTCCTTGCAACCCTGATATAAAAGGAGTGTGACCACACTTATTTAACTGATGCTTCTGAAGTTTTCCAGGTTATTTATTGGCTCATGCAAGCATGGAACTCCTCCTTCAGTGTAAAGGGCATTACCCTGGTATGCAAGTGCATGGTAATTTGTGAGCATGGTCTGCATTTGTATATGTTTTGCAAGTGAAACCCTTAATACATTAGTGTGAATCCTGGGAGTGTGTGGGTTAGTGATAGTGTAGGTTGGTGCTTGCATCTGCAACCCTGGCTGCCCCTTCCTGTTGAAACTGGGCAGGAAAGTCCAATTAATCTTCGTGTAATCTGTATCTGATACTGGCTTGTCCAGGTCACGTCTTGGCATGAGAACAGATATTGGAATTAAAATCTGTGACCCCACTGTCATACTTTGACCTTACATCCTCCATTCTCTTAAAACGTATTGGTCCGGTTACAAAACAGGAGGGCTACCAGCTTTTAATCAGGTAACAGGGTGGCAACTCTCTAAATATACTGTTGTTTTCCCTTCTAATTTTAACAACGTTTCACAAGCGTTCAGCCCTCAGGACATGTTACACACGTGGAGCATTTCATTCAGTTTTGCACTAGGCACAAGACAGGCTGAGCTATCTCTCCTGGATTTCTCAGCACAGCACTGCTGTATTCGCCAGATTTCTGCCTGGGAAACACCCCCAGGATGTCCCTGCCCGTGGCAAGGGGGGTTGAAACTAGGTGATCGTTGTGGTCCTTTTCAACCTAGGCCATTCTATGATTAGATGACTTGTGGATAATACACAGAAGAAATATCTGGATTTTAGTGAGAAGCCAAATAACTGCCCTGCCCCATCCTGAGGGCTGCCCAGTGAGCTGGCTGTGTGCTGAAGCTCCGTGTAGCTTCATGGCCATGCATCAAGGTCCCAGCAGTGCTGGGGATGCAGCCCCACCTGACCTCATGTACCCAGGAAGGGTGTGTGCCCCTGCAGTGACAGCACTGCAGCTCCGATGGGCGAGGAGAAAAGACAGATCCATTATGGCTCGGCTTTTGAAGTGTCTGCAAGGGTTTCTTTTGTGAGCGTGGCAGTGAAGGAAACGCTTAGAGGGGCTTGCTTTCTGTTGCACAAAAGGGAAGATCTGGAATTCCAGGAGGGAAAAGCAAGCCTTGCTCTGAGATAAGATGCTGGCAGGCAAATGCCTTTTTTTTTTGTTTTGTTTTGTTTTCATTTCTGAGAGCCAATGGGCTGCCCTGAAAGCATGGGTCTGTGACAGCTCTCTTGGCCCCTGCAGAGACATCTGAACTGACTGGTGATTCTGTTGGTCACTGGCGGTGGTACATTGCTGACTGCACTCCAAAAGCAATCTCCAGAACTGCTGACAGCTGTAGGATGGCTACAGATGGGAGTCAATCATTTCTACTTCTGATTAAACAAAGTTTGTTAAAATAGCCCTGCTTGTGATCCTGTGCCAGCCCAGCAGACAGAACAGATGATGCTTGGTAACGGAGAAAAGCAAAACTAACCCAAATAAAACAAGTCCTAACAAAAACGTGTGTATCTGAGCCAAGCTTTAAGTTCAGGGTGAAGTGTGTTTGTCTATATTTTCATCTTATGAGTTGGCATCTGCTAAAGAGAGGCTTCAGCATCTTGAGGGCTCCTTGGAGCAGACACCCCTGTGACTATGTGGTCTGGCTGTTGTAGTGATTCCATTCTCCTGGTGCACTGTGCGGCACAGGCAATGCCCTAACACAGTGAGGAGGATTTCCTTGGCCCTGGAACCATCTGCCCCTGCTGTAGGCTGCTATGGGACTGTTCCCTGTGTAAATCTTCCTGTAGGAGTTTGTTGAAAGCGAGATTCCATTTTCCTTTTTGAGGCTTTCCTCCTCACTATTTTGCAAGTGTCTGCAGATGCTTTTTCTAAGGTGTAGGTGTGACAGCACAGGGCTACAATATCCGAGAGCTCCTGGTTCACATTTGGTGCTGAGCCAAACTGACCTTGAAAGCAGTCTGGTGAACATGGCCAGTGCAACTGCTCAGCATCCAGCATCTTTTAATTTCTTCATTAAAGAATTGAAGACAAGGTGGAGCTGCTGTTGTCCTTGTATTGCATGCACGTGGGCATTGCTGTTTCTGTGTGAGTGGCAGTTGGGTGTATCCTGCCCTGCCTTGGGAAGGGGCAGGAGAGAAGGCTGCCTGCCAGCTCTTCCTGGCCCTGTGGGTCCCCCCTCCCTGGCAGCTAGATAAGGACTCATGGTTGTAGCCCTTTTCCTGTCCTCTGGAAAACACCATAAAGCTTGTCTAGAACTCCTCATCTCTTTTACCTTCTCAAGCCATTTATTTGAATATCCTTCATAGGTTATGTGCCTTGTGCAGTCTTCTATAGCCTACTCCCATCACAACACAGCCAAAGTAAAGCATTGGATAGAGCAAACTTGAGCAGTGCCCTGTGCTAGGGACAGACAGCAGCCTAAAGCGAAGAAATCCTACCTGGAGAGCGCTCATTGGGAAAGAGACATCGAGAGCTATGCTTGCAGTCTCACATGCCAGCACTCCTGGGACATGGTGAGCCTTGCTCACATGCTTGCCAGCCGGCTTGATGCAAAACATCCTGTGCTGCATGCTGGTGTGCTGCCATGCAGCTGGGTGGCCCTGCAGTGCCCCCGCTGTACTGCTGCCCGCAGGCACTGACCTGCAGTCTGCCCTGAGAGGCTGATGCTGGAAGCAAATGTTGCCCCACTGCCGGGCAGAGGTGCTGGCAAACTGCTGGGGGACCAGACTGCTGCTCCACATTGGCTCCCTTCTCACTGCACTGGGGGGAAAAAGCGTTGTATGGAAGGTTTTATTCTCAATACCAACAGGTTTCCATTCCTGGGTTAATCTGGTGATTAGGCTGAATTTTGATGTGACTGCAAGTCAGGCAGGATCTTGGCTTGGAAATGAAACTTTTTATTGCAGTTCTCATTTCTGCATGCAGCTGCGTGTGGGGCAGCTCAGCCCCACAGAGGTGCCCTTTTTAGATGCCAGTTTGATTAATCCTCACCCGCTGCCTGCTATCCTGTGTCTCTCACCAAAGGGCGACTCTTCCAGTGCCAAGAACTTGTGCAGTAATATATCTGAATTCACCACCCAAGGACTGTGAGGGCCTGTGCCAAAATTTTAATTGTATTTTTATGGCAAGTAGCCACAGCTTGTTCTTTGAAAAAAAAAAAAAAAAAAAAGGAAAGAAAGATAAAGAAGAGAGGGTACTTCTAGCTCTCAATTGTGCAGCCAAGTTGTGGCTGGAGCTTCCTTTGCTTAAGGTGGGGTGCGATGCAGTTGAGCCATGGGGATGAGGATGGTACAGGCTGCTGGAGTGCAGGAAGGTATGAGACAAGCCAGAATATCAGCTCTGCTTTGCAGGAGAGGCTGAAGAGACTGCTTTTTCCCTGGGTGGAGTGGCTGCCTTGGTCCCACTGCCCCTGCTGCAAATGGCTGAGCTGGGAGGACTATCCCTTTGGGGCAGGAAGCTTTCAGGCCGACCCCTGCTAGCTACTTCTGGCTTGTGCTGAACAGAGCATCTCCTGTCAGACAAAACCTGTTTTTTTGACTACTTGCAAACTGGTCTGGCTGGACAGCCAAGCACAAGAAGAGTGTGACTGCACCACCCTGTCAGAGAAACAGAGGCCCTAAGTGCTGAGGGGCAGCCGCAATAAAATGCTGCAGGGCCTGGCCAGGGCATGGCGTGAGCCCAGTGGAGCCAAACAGTCCATTATCCGCACATACAAACCTCCCAAAGGTGAATTACAGACCACCTTCTCCTGGGGGATTTATTAGGCATTATATAAGTCTTGTCTCCACCTGAGGGGAGAAGGGTTTATCAATCACTTTGAATTTCCTGCAGCACAGTGAGTTTGTTTAGGAGCCATCTGCATGGGATGCTTGACTCATGGCACATCCAACAGAAACGTAAGCCCTCTTATTAATACTTGGCTTGCACAAGTATGTTGCACTAACACAATACTTCAGGCAGGTTGATTGGCTGGTTTAGTAACTCTGTCACTCTGTAAACAAACACTTTTTCTTGGAATTTCATTCAGGAGTAGCTTGGGACATGTACAAGCCAACTCCTTCCCTGATGAAAGGCAAGTGACTCCCCAGGAGCTGATTTGCGCCTGTGGGAGAGCAGAGTTGGAGGGAGAGCACTGTGCTCTCACCTACCTGGGGCCATCCCAGCCAGCCTTAATGTTTCAGCAATCCGTGGAATACGAAGTGCTGGCTGGCTGGCCCTTTTTAATCTCAACCTTCTCTTCTCGTACCTCTGCGATCCATGCAGGAGGGATGCAGAGCTGAGCATCCCAAGTGGCTTCCAGCCTTTGCTCTGTGGCCCAGTGAGGGCCCTGACGTTTGCCTTGGAAAGGGATGATGTAAATGGTGCCAATACCCAGCAGCTCAGACTTCCTATTGCACATACATCTGACCCCCTGCATTAAAAAAATCTCTCATTTATAATGGTTTCAGCATGCACCTATGCAGAAGGTTTGATGTTGCACCATCTGAGAAAGGATGGAAGTGCAGCAAGGCCAGGAGGTTGGTGACTCTTCCTGAGTTTGTGGCCAGGAGCTGCTCAGCACTGCTGTGTTTGTTCTTAGTTTAGCAAAAGCTGATGAGTAGTGAAAATTGGGGAAAACTGGCTTGTTAACATGTGGGCTTCTCACCTTAGAGTCTACTCATTTTGATTACACATAAGATAGTTTTTTTTTGTATGCATAGCCTGATGGAGAATCATGTTGATTCCCAGTTGATCTGCAGAGGACAAGTCTGTTGCATGTCCTAATTGTGGTCCATCTCCAGGCTGAAGCAGGTCTGAAGTGGTCCACTCCTCCATGGCTTGAACAGCAGAGGATTTTCAGTGCCTTGTAAAGAGCCATATTTGCTAGGTAATGAGAAAAACAAGCAGTGGCATCATGATACATGGCAAGAAAGCCACACAAATACTTACTGGTGCACAACTTGGGTGGGAGCTATTGTCACAGTAAGGCAGAACCAAGGTAGGATCCACAGTGAATGATGCCAAAAGCCAGGAGAAAGAGCTCAGCCACTGATACACGAAACTATACTCAAGCAGCCAAGGCTGATGGGAGGAATGGGTGGAGGACAGCAGCCGAGCTTTTTTTGGCCAGCGTGCACAGTTGTGCTCAAGTGTTGCTCAGTGGAATAGCTGGGCTTTTATTTTTAAAACATTTCTTGTGGAAAACAGCATTTTACAACCTGATGGGTGTGAACCGTAGCCCCATAGCAAGCTGGCACACAGCTGTTGTGCAGATGAGGTTGCATGCTCATTTTCTGTGTGGGCTGATTTAGGGGAATTGTGAAAAGAAAAACAGTCCTTGATATCCCATGCTGCTTCCCGGGGTCATTAGCAGCCTCTGGGCTCTTGGCTAGTCATCAATAACTAATTTGAGGATATAGCTTAAGGGCTGTTGTATGAAGCTTTTGGTTATTTCTGCATGCTAGGTCCAGCATATATTTTGTGCATTGGGTACCTTTTCCAGGTCTTCACTGCCCTGCATTACTTCTCCTCCTGTAGCTGTGTTTCCTCCTGGGCAAGCCTAACCTCTCAAGAAGTCTTACACCAATACCAAACCACAGCGTGGTTGGAGTACTTGTGTGATAGCATCATCTGTCACTGCTGAACAACAACAACAACAAGGAAATGAGCAATATTCCAAGCTGGAGCAGAACAAGAGCAGACAAAACAAAAAGGAATACTGTACACCTACGAATCCCTAGCAGGGAGGGGGTATCCAAGCTATGAGCCTCCAAGGAGCTCTGTGTGTCAGTACCAGGTTCTGTTTAAAGATCATGGGTGTACATCTCTTGGTGAGAGGCAGGACACAACTTCCCCATGGTCTCTCTAAGCTCTGGAGGGTTTCACTGGCTCTGTCTGAATGCAGATAATTTAATAAATATGCATATTTCCATTGGAATTCCACAAATACAGACATAGTGTCTTTACAGCAACTTGAACTATTTTTTTAAAGACTCTAAATGACTTGGTAAACATAGGAGATGAAAAAATGCCCTGAATTATGCTCAGTTTAAAATTCTGAGCTTGCAAACGTTTTGTAATATGTTCAAGATGTTTTCTGTACTGTGTGTCAGCTAGAGTGAATGAGCAGGGGAAAAAGAAAAGAAATAAGAATAAAATTCAATAGGCATTTTAGTAAAATGGCAAAACCCAGCTTAAAGCCATAAAAAAGTCATACATTAGCAAAGATCTTGTCACCTGCAGCAAATCCTTCATTTTCCAATGCTATGGCACAGCAACATCTCAAGTTCTGTCTTTGAGACACAAGTGCAAAGGAGATGGTTGGTTTGCTGCAATTTACCCATTCAGCCAAGCAGTATTTCCTTCCCTAAGGTACAGGCAAGTTCAGTCATGGATTATGTGTTTGGCTTTCCTCAAGCCACAGCCTCCACTCATGTTGGTACACCGTGTCCCAATACCAGCCATGACTTGTCCTCTGGATGGCAAGTTGTCCCACCTTCTCTACCTAGGTCCTAGCCACCTGTCCAAACAGAGGGAAATCCCCCAGCCTCATCCTTCTGTTGCTTTAGCCTTTCTTGCAATGTTTCTCCCAAACATATCTGATGCCACACCATCCCAGCAGGATGGGTGCCTGGATCTCAGCTCCATGGGAACCTCTGTCTCTGTGAAGTGTCCTTCATGCAGCTCTCCTTTTGGTCAGAGCCAGCATAGGAGCTCAGCTGAGCACAGAGTGATAGGCAAGGGCATGTTCTGAAATAACTCATTTGAAGTATATTTGTAGAAAAGGTGCAAGGGAATAAAGAGTTAATGATGAGATGCCTTCTAGGTCTATGAGGTTTTTCTTATGTGAGGACTCTAACTCCTAAATTCCAGAGTTACGGGCAAGAAACTGAGACTGGAATCTCACCCCTTATGCCTGAAGAATTACTCAGTTGTTCCTAGGGTGGAAATAATGCAAACACTTATTTTAAAATAATGCTGGTTGGGCTTGGAAAATTCAAATTCAGATAGTAGAAAAAGATAATTTCAAGGTTACGAAGCAAACATAGCCTTTCTGCACAACTGCAGATCTCACGTTCAGTAAGGCAAGGTTCCTGGGGAAAATGACAAATGTAATTAAAACCTGTCTCATCATGTGTGCACACAGGGGAGGGTAAGCTTGATTGTAATGGTAACTGCTCAAACTGCAGGTGTTTTTATTTTAAGATGGGGTATTAAATGAAACTTCCTGCGTTTATTAACCCAAATATTCTCCTGTATGCTTCTAAGGTGCTGCTGTGATTTGCAAACAAGGCTGAACTTGAACGACACTTTTCAGCACAGACTTCTGTCTTCACAGATAAAAGATATTACTTACCTTAGCTGAGACTGCTACAGGGACCTGCAGCACTGTGGATGCTGCAAATCGTTTCTGTCTTTGGAAGCAGTTAGTTGTCCATCCTGAAGGTCTCAGGCTCGTTATGGTGTAGTGGAAATCCTTCATGGCTGGCAGGACAGAGGTGGGGATCCTGCCGGAGTGCTACCATCTCTGCAATTGTGAGAGAGAGAATGTGAGCAACTATGTGTTTAACAAGAGAGTTTTACAGACGGGGAGAGGACAGAGCTGGAGCCAGGCAGCAGCTTTGGAGGTGGCGGAGGACAATGTGATGCATCACTTCAAAAGAGGAGGAGGAAGTGTGGCTCCACTCCCCCCCATGTAACTCGCTAGTTCCTAGTGCAGCCAGTGCTGTGGGACTATGTGGGATTTTGTGACTTTTATTTCTACTCCAGTTATTGCTGCCACAGTTCTTCCAAGAAATCCAGACAAGGGGAGGTGAATGGTGACTAATTTAGACAACATAAGTGGAGGACTCACGATGTAATACAAGAAACTTAGCGGCTTTCTGATGTCCTTTTGTGTGTGAATTGTGTAGCCCGGTTGTTTAATGGAGCGTTTAAAAATTGTGTTGGCAATAGCCTATGAATAATGTATGCAGGAACAATGAAATACCTTACTGTGAAGAAACTGCTGATATGCTGTGGAACTTTCCATTGGGTGTGAGAATGATTTTGAAAGCTCTGTCTTCTTGGGATGCCCTTTATTTATAGTCTTGCTATACGTCTAAAGGGAGATTGCACTCCCTTTTAGATACCATATGTAAAGATGCCCTCCACTGCTTCTGCCTGTCTTCCAATTTCACTCTATTCCCTTTGCTTATGGCTGTAAAACCTCCTGAATTTTGATGACTATATGCTTTATTAACTGAGCACTGTCAGCGTGGAGATATTTGCTCCATAGCCTCCAGGCATTCCAGGTGTCTGCACCAAAACATGCTACGCTGAATGAAGACGAGTATTGTTTTTTTTGTCACAGCAAGGATGTTCCACAGTACGGGAAGCAGAAGTAGGGCCGAGTGATTTGGGAAAAAAAAATAGACCAGCAATTCTTTTTCACGTTTCTGGAGCATGGGATCCTTGCTTGAAATAAGGAACTGCAGCATTGCACACATGGATGTTCAGTTTTCAATGGACTTTTGCAGTGTGAACTCGGCTCTGATCCCTCCAAATTTTTCCCCAAGTCCTCTTTCACTGTGTAAAGCCTTCACATCTTTTGGCCATGAGTAGTGGGAAGCTGCTGTGATACTAAGTGGCTAAATCTTGCTTCACTAAGGAAATGAGAAGATTGAGTGTGCTTGAAGAGGTTCTCTGGAGTTTGCACTGCTTTAGTTGCAGACTTCCCTGGACATAGCTATCAACACTGTGGGTGCACCAGACAGTCACTGTCTCTTCTTTTGCTCCTTGCTTTAACCATTAGCCACAGGAGAAAATAAAATAGTAGCTTTGTTTCTCACCTGAGGTTGTCCACATCTGCACTGAAATGCAGAAGTGCCACAGGAGGGACTCTGAACACAATATTTATCTTATAGCTGTTCTGAATGGTCCCAGACGAGTGTATGGTAAGAGCATGCCCAGCCTGCAGACTGTATAGCTCTCTATCCCATCTCTGCTGTGGCTTTGCTGTGAGTAGCCCAGTGCTCATGCTGCATTTTTCTGTCTGTACTTATGCAACAGACCCTTGAGTCAAAGCATTTCCTGCAATATGGACAGTGTATTATTAGTGTAATGCTTGGACAAAGCAACATGTGATTGATGCTGTTATATTAGTCAGCTAAGGAAGTGATATCCTCACCTTGGAGGTTTGATGTGGTGGGTTTTGAAGTCACATGGTGATAGCAAGCTCCAGGCATGAGCCTACAGGGCAGGAGAGAGAATGGATTAGAAGAGAGTTTGTATCCTCAAGGTGATCTGCAGCTAGCTAAACAAGAGGGAATACATTAGTGCTTTTATTTGGCTTGCTTGCTGCTGTGGTACTCCTGAGGAGTGCAGGATATTCTCAGCTACAGGAAAAGCTATGTATAAAAGGGGTTAGTCTAAACACAAGAGAGGTACAAAGACCACTAATAGGGTTTGACTAAATGTTTTAAATAGGATTGATAAAAAGTATCTAAAATTCCCTCCATCTCCTTTCTGGCAGCCAAGAAGTGTTTTCAGAAGAGGTTTACAAAGATCTAGGTTGAAGATGACAATTAAGTTCAAGCAGCCTTTTTCTGGGGTAGAAATGCTGCTAGCTGACTAAGAAAGAAAAGCTTTCAGAGCAGAGGAGACGGTTGCAGGTCAGTCTATTGATGCTTCTGATGGTTCTGTTGATTTCTCTTTTTTCAATGTTTGTTTCTGTAGGTGAAGAGTGAAGGCCCCAAACTTGTGCCCTTCTTTAAAGCAACTTGTGTCTATTTTGTCCTCTGGCTGCCAACTTCCAGCCCTTCCTGGTTCAGTGCCCTCATCAAATGTTTGCCCATCTTCTGCCTGTGGGTTTTCCTTCTGGCTCATGGAATTAATTTTTTAGTGGCACATCGGAGCGCCAGCCGCATCCTAGCAGGACTGATATTCTCAGCAGTGGGAGATGCCTTCCTCATCTGGCAGGAGCAGGGCTACTTCATTCATGGTGAGTACGGTGTGAGTCCTGAAGGGTTACCACAGTGCCCAGCTGTTAGTCTGTTTATTTAATAGTGAGTTCCTTGCCACACGTTTTGTTTGCTCATGTACAGCTTAAATGCCTCGTAGTGTGAGACAGTCATCCCTAGAGTAAGATCCATTGCAGTTAGAGGAGTCATATCATGGATGAGACTCCTGAGCTTCTCTTGAGGTGTCCTGAAGTCAGAGAGGTCATTAAGACAGGTTTGGTTCCTTGGCACGTGTTTGCAGTGTCTCATCTGGCTGGAGCTGGGAAAGTGGAATGGGCAGAATGTCCCGGGAAGAGGAGGAGACTCACAGCACTCAGCATCTCCCATGAAGCTGCAGGAAGTATCTACCTCCTGTCTCTCTGCGGGGAGATCTGTCGGTCCTCCTCCGCAAGGATGCAGAAGTAAGACACACGATGCCAAGGCCCTCAGTGGACAGAAGGTAGAGAGGATCCTTAAGTTGCAGAAGACAAGCCCACAGCCAGGGGGAAGTGTTTAAATGGATGTCAGAGAGCAAATCATTAGAAATCTTGTCCTATTTTCAGGTTCATGAGCATGAATCATGCAGCCTGTTGTAAAAACATGGGAGCTGGTTTTGCAAGACATGTAAATTATGGGGAATCAAGGGCAAACCCTACCATGACACCCTGTCATCTCTACAGAAAGATCTACATGTCTCAGAGCAAAACAAACTTATTTTATTTCACTGTTTTGCAAACTAGAAGATAATGGCTTAGATTAATGATCTAAAGCCACATTGAGTCTGCCTGCAGCAACACTTGACATGGCCTTAGACTGTCATAAGAAATCAGCAGCATTTAAGTCCTTCACTTCACTGCATCAGTGGTGTTTGTGAAGTCAACTTCACTAGCAGAGGGATCTCATTTAACACCCACCATTAGCTAGCTGCTGACTGTCCCACTGGAAAACGTGATGAGATGGGGGAACTTTTCTGTCTTCTATGAACGTCAAAGGCTTATTTTTTACTCCTTGTATGAAGTCAGTATTTAGTTCTATTCTGGAATTCCCACAAGCTCTGCTTTCTTTATGAGAGGAAAGTATGTGAAATGCTAGATATGAAAAGCCAAACGCTTTGAATCTGGTTTTAATCCTGCTTCCCAAGGGTTTATCCAAATCTTATTAAAACTTCCTGTAAAAACTCTAAAGATTTTGGTGGGGTGTAGATTAGGCCCTGGGGACTGGATCTGTTTGGCTGAACTGTGGGCATGTTGCTGAGAAGCTCCAACTATCTCTGGGTTGCCATCCGCACTGTGCTGAGTGTTGGCGTTCCCACTGACAGGCCTCCTCTTAACAGGAATGCACGGCTCGGCATAAGTTACCCTTGCCCAGCTGCCCATGCTTCTGTTTTGCCTCCTGTCATTGCTTCTTGAGCTGTGGCTTGGAAAACATTCAAGACCTGATTCTCACCGTGACCGTTTCTGTACATGGGCTGTGCATAAGTTCCCCATTCCCACGTAGTTGGGATATCTCTGAGTCTTCTTTGATTTAATGATAGAGGAAGGCTAACCTGTCACAGCAATTCAGTATTGAGTTCAAGTGTTTTAATCTGCAAATCAGTTGGAATTTTTACCCAATTTGTGGGTTTTGACTGATTTTTCTTCTTGACTTAATGAGAATGCTTGCTTAGCTCTCTTGGAGCATTTTAAGAACCTCAGCCTGGATCTCTGGCTTTCTCTTGTCTGCCTCAGTCTGTACTAATATGAGCTACTGCCTTCTGTAGTGAAGTGTTAACACTTGCATTTCAGCTGTCAGCAAATAAAGTGCACCACCCCACTTATCCTTTCCTGCAGAACGTATTTTCTCCTAAACACAGCAAGCTGCTGTTGTTGACAACTGACAACATTCAAACTTTTGACATCAACCCTTGTGGGAATTTCAAATTTCAGGGGTATAAAAGGAATTGCTAGAGAATAATGTACTTTCTCTTCAATTTCTATGGCTTTCAGGCAGAAAAAAAGGTTGAGATCTGAGTTGAGTTGAATAGCTTTTGAGACAATGAGTTTATAAAAAGACATTTGTTCATTATTTTACAGGGAGGTGAGAGCCTGGGAACCTACTCCTGGTGCACTTCACTTTTCATTTTTGCTGTTTCAGTCTACAAATAGCAAGCTATTTTCTGACTGGTGTCTTCCTGCATGTGGAAGATACTTCACAGTGTTAACACCCATGTCCTTTGATAATGGGAGCACAGAAACAATTATGCATTCAGTAGAGAAGATGGAGGCTAACAGAAAGGACTCATTGCCAGCCTGAGCAGAAACTCCAGGGCAGGGGAAGTGGGAAGGAAACCTGGGCTCTGTGATTCCATCTAACTGGCCCAGAATAAGGCAGAGAGCGGAAGGAAGCAGATGATAGATAGAAAAGGCTGATCTGCCTGGTGAGACTGGAGGGCTGAGCCAAAGGCTGAGAAATGCAAGCAAATTGCACCCTGCTCCGTGCACATCTCTGACAGGTTTCCCTGGTTCTTGGCTTTATTTATGAGCGCTGAATGAGCAAACCTCAGAGCTGACTCTCTTGTGACCTCACCATATATCACAGAACTCCTCCTGCCTTTCTGGGCTTCTGCTTGGCTGCTGTATCTTGTCCTCCTCTGCCTTGCTGCTGGCTGCCTACATGAAGGACAACTCATTCTTCAGTTCCCCATTCCAGCACTTTCTACACAATGCCACTGAAGGAGAAATCACTCCTCATAGCTAGGACAAAGTAACCTTCCCCTCCTGAGCACTCCATGGCTCTAACCTTTCCTGCATTACAAACATTTCTCATCCTAAATCCCTCCTCTCTCAGTGCTGCACTCATGAAACCTCTGAAATATCAACTTTTTGTTGCCCTTCTTTGCAATTCCTTCTCCTTCCCACTCTCCATTTCCTCCCCTTGCAGACTAAATCCCCACTAGCCCCCTCCCTCCTGTGTGTTCCCCTCTCATGCCATGATGGCTGAGTGGATGTTGATCCCAAAGGCTGGGAGATGCTTCTCCTTTTATCTGCCTCAGAAAGTACTGGGATGAGGAGATGTCTGCCAGCAGCGGGATTTAGCAGTTCCCCTTTGTACCACAGCACTGGGCTTTGAAATGCAAACAGGTGTCCTGCTGCAGGTCTTAGCTTCCCAGATCATTTTCTCCATTCTGTACATTAAAGCTGCATGAAAACATTCAGGCACTGTAATTAACCCTGCCCAGGAAAAGTAGAACAGCCTTTAGCTGCAACGAACATGGGTTTGGGGCCTACTATGTGCAAGTAGTAGCCAACAACATGGCTACTACCAAAACATGGTGACATTTTTTGTCAAATGGGTTAGTGGCAAGTGATTAACACAAGGGTGGTACCTTCCATGTGGGTTTTCTCAGGTGTGTTGCACTTCAAAGGGAAGCCAGCATTTTATTTTCACTGATTGATTCCAGCTAAGGTTCATATGAATCTTGCAAATAGCCTCAACACTGTTGGCAGATCTTATTGGTGTAGTCCCTGAAATGTCAGCTGCTTAGGTTTCTCCTAGCTATGAGCAGAAATGGAGTAAAAGCCAGATGCAGTCCCTGAGTTCTTTTGGGTTTGGGGCTAACTATGGTTAGATTTTCTATCTAGATTGAGAAGAATCACTATCTTATCACATTTTGTTCTGACATGGCTCTGATTCCAACGTTCCTGTTCCATTTGACCTAGGAGTGAAATGGTTCAGATGATAGATAATTAGAGGAGATTATCTTTGCTCTGCCTTGCCCTCACCTTTCTGTCCAAAGCAGTAAAGGAATCATCTGAGAAACAGGCTTTGTTCTTTCTGCAGCAGCTTGGGCTTACCTGGCCTCTTGGCAAAAAGTTGTGCATCACAACAGAGTCGTTCTCAGCTGCAGCTGTAGAAGTACTGAGACTCTTTCTTAGGGCAGGAACCTGGTGCTAAAGTCGATCTGTGCAAACTTTTTTATATTAAAATGGTCCCAAGTGCTCAGTGGGGTGTCTGATTAAATCAAATGAGGGTTGTAACACAACAAGGACATCTATACCTGGAGTAGCTTCTGTATATTTCAAATCCAATGTATCCATGTTTTCTTTTGCTACTGACTGCAGTCACTGTCAATGCCTCTTTCCAGGTCTGCTGATGTTCGCCATCACACACATCCTGTACTCCTCAGCCTTTGGCATGAAGCCTTTGGACCTGAAAGCCGGCTTGATGATGGGCCTCATTTCCAGCTCCTGTTATGCCTTCCTGTACTCCTACCTCTCGGGCCCATTCACCTACCTGGTAGCTGTCTACATCGCCTTGATTGGCTTCATGGGCTGGCGAGCGGTCGCTGGCATGCAGCTGTGCAATGACCTCTGGACGTGGACCAAGCTCTCGGCCTGCATTGGAGCAATGCTTTTCATGGTGTCAGATCTGACCATCGCAGTTAACAAGTTCTGCTTTCCCGTACCCTACTCGCGTGTTATCATCATGGCTACTTACTATGCAGCTCAAATGCTTATTGCACTGTCAGCTGTAGAGAGCAGAGATGAAGAGGACTTCAAAAAGAGGAGCTAGGTGGAGTGCCGACAGTCTGTGAACAGTATGGGTTATATCTCAGGTGCTGTAGCTGCATTCACCCCTGAGAGAGATCTCCATTTCTCTAGGCATATTGGTGATGTTGATTTTGCTTCTTTGAAGCATTACCCTTAGGGCTTTATTTTCAATGGCTTTCTCTGAATATAGCTTACTTCAGTGTGGAGTCCATGTCAGAAGGCTTAAGATTGTTCCTGCAGTAGCTGCTCATCCAGTTTTTCCACCTTGGAAGTGCTGTACTACTGCACTTTATTTGTTAGTCTTGAAACTGATGCTGAATGTCTGGGAATAGGAGGTGCAATGGACAAGTTTGGCCACACACTGTGCTAGGAGGCTTGCTTTCAATTGTAGGCAGACATGCACAGACTCTGCTAAAGCCATAGGTAAAAATGAGTTTAACCAGTGTTTAAGTTAGCCTGTTCTTGTGCATTACAAATTCAATACACAAACTGGAGCTATTTGAGCCTCTGCTGAAAGGAAGCCTGTAGCTATAGTAAAAACATCACATTCAGATGAGAGCTGAGCTTTGGAGTCAACAGCAGCATGTTGGGCAGCCCCTAGCAGAACCTGAATGAGAGCCAAACACCGAGCAGAGAGCCCAGCATGAGGTACACAGAGATGAAGTGCTTGTATGCCTCGATAGCTGCTGATCAAAGCTCTAGAGCAAGTCTATGGACAGCTGCCAGCATTGCCACGTGCAGCAGAAATTGTAGCTTGGTGGGCTTTTAGGGTCATCCAGGTAGACAAACCAGTGCATTCTCCTCTGCTACATTTGTACAATCACACAGTGTCAGCAGCCATCAGTGACAGCATGGGCACACAAGGATCTTTGGTTTCTGTAGCAGGAGTTGGAGGGTGTATGTTACTAACGTGTGTCCTATTTGTCTGTGGAACAGCAGATAGGAATCTAGCATTTACAGCTTTCTTTCTCAGTATTCTAACAAATAACATTCCATATACTCATGAAACTTTCCTGTCCTGCTGCTTGCAGCGCCTTTTCTGAACGTGTGAGCATTTCCCATGTCTGAACTGGTTAGTCGGGGCCCTGATTTTGACTGTAGATCGTTGTCATGTTTTGCCAGCTGGTGGCAGACGTTCAGCTTTGCAGCACTTGTGTTTGGAGACCCCTTTTTTAGCAGAGCATCCTGAAAAGCACAGTTCTCTGTGTTCAAAGTGCCTGCTGCTTCCTTCTTGAACTCACAGCAGGAAAGCGGGAAAGCCTGTTTAATTCTGACCCAAATTCTTTTCTTGGTTTTTCTGCCCATCTGCTGAAGCAAGATTACTTCTGACTTCACTCTCTTAAAAAGATGAGAAAGACGTTGCCCTGTTTTGTTGTTTTTTTTTTTTTTTCCTAAATACGACTGATTTTATTTTCTCCTCTTATTTAGGACATCTGACAGCAAGCTACATTTCCATTTGAATCTCTCTCCAACCTGCTCTTTCCCTCTGACCATTCTAAGGTTGTTACTATGGGTGGAGATGTTCTCCTAGTTGTTTTAAAGACACAACAAGCTCATTCAGCTGCAAAGGAAGTTTCTAAGGGTTCCTGCACATCTTCAACCTGTGGCCAAAAAGGGATGACCCAAATCCATGCAGGTCCTAATAAACCCTTGCATACTTTTGTATGGCAGAGTGAACAGGAGGGGCAGCTTCCAGATTGTCCTCGTGGGTTGAAAACCACCACGGTCGCCATACCTCGCATGCTCAGAACATTCCAGGCAAAAGCCTGTCACTGAGTCCCTGGCACCATCAACAGAGCAGGAATTCCCCTTTCCAAGGAGGGCAGCTGGGGTCAGGGGCAGCTGAGGAAACATCCTTAGCTTTTCTGTTGGTGCTGAGAGGTGTTAAGTGGCTCTCCTGTTCCTCTCCAGCCTTCTGTGTTGGGACTGGGTGTAGAACAGGCATTGCCTCCCCACAGTTGGTGCATCTGCGCCAATGCAACCAGTATTACAAAAATCTAGGTTAACCATCCTGACCCCATGGAATCATCTACTGCTTTTCAGAGAGATCAGAAAGGTCAGCTGCGTTGTTGAGAGGGAAAGAATTCTAAATAGCACAGTCCGGTTTAATCTCTTCCCTTTAATGCTGTTGTGTAATACTGTCAGTATTCATTCACCAGTGTGCTGGGGTCTGCCTGGAGTAAACTGCTAAGGGAATTTAGAACCATAAAACATCTTCATTCATCAGCATTGCTTATCTCCTGGCCGCAGCTTGAACCCTGCAGTGTAGCTCTTTGCAGATATCAGCTGCTGTTACTAAGCTTAACTGCTTGCAAATTGCTTTCTGCAAAAGACTGCCAAGAGGAAATGTAAGCATTTGGGGTGAACCCCACCATTCTTCCAGCACATCAGAGCATGTTTCAGTCTGGGTCAGTTCAGTACACTCAATCCTTATTCTGGCAGTTCTTCAGAGAAACTCCCTGCACCCTGAGCTTCCCAGATGACCTCAAGCAGTCTCTTCCAACCTCAGCCATTCTGTGATTCTTTGATTTAAAAGTTAGAATTTCAATCCGAACCATTATCTCTTTCTTTCTCTTTAAAAACGAGCAATCTTCAGTTTACTGAAGACAGCTGATTTGCATTTCTGCATGTTTCTTCTTCTTGGCTTTCTTTGCCATCCTGCTCCACTTTCAGGCACTGTACACTTGCAAAAAAGGACCTTTTAAGTGTAAGTTGGAGACCTGCTCTCTCTTCTTCTCTGGCTGTCAGAAGTGCAGTTTCTGGATACAGAGGTGTGTGGATGGCTTTAATTAGGATGGCAGAAACACGTGTCACCCAAGTGGGCTGTTGTCCCCTTACGTCAGTGGCTGGCTGGGATGCAGCCTTTGAAGCATCAGCATTGGCTTGCCCAGGAACATGAGGTAGAGCCCTCAGCTTACAAAGCATAGAAGAGTCCTGCCTGACTAAGAGCCAGCAAAGGCTCTTAATCTCCAAAATCTCTCTCCTGCTTTGCATTCTCTACTTTTCATCCTTATTACTTGAACGAGACCATTTTCCTGGAAGGTATCCTTCCTGCTAGGAAGGGCCCATCTGAGGCCAAATGAGGACACTCATTTGACACAGTTTTCAGAGTTTCTGAAACCCTGAGAAACACTAAACAGTTGCTTGCATTCTGCTGAATACCTTTTCTTGGGATTAAAACTCTTCTCTTAACCCAAGCAAAGGCGGTCTTCATTATGAAAGGGAACAAACAGAAAGTGGGAAGCACATGATTGTCTGTGACACTGCCTGTCGTTTGTGCGTCTCTGCACTGTAAAACTGCATTGAGCCATTCTTCTTATCAGGAGTGCAGTGTTTAAGAAACACCCACTCTTCACCCCAGGGACACTACAGAGGGAGTGAAGCACCCCAGTGGTGCAGCATGCCTGGTGGCCCCAATAGTATCAGCTCCAGGGCTTAAGTTCTGAGGTGTTTCTTTACACAATGCTGTTCTCAAAGGTTCCTCTGCAGTTCCCATCTAAAGCTGCTTGAGGCTATGCACATGGTACAATTACTCTTGTTCTCTTGTATTAAATCATAGTTATCTTTAGGTCTTTAATTGGATATATGGAAAATACATTTCAGCTGAACTTCTCTTCCTGGTGGTAGATCCTCCTTTGTCCTTGCTCACACAAAACACCCACTGAAGCTGAAGAAGCATTCCTATTGCAATGGGTTTTAAATGCTAATAACGTATTGGGCTGTGAAAGTTACACTGATGTCAACAGGGTGAAGCTATTTTAGAAATGGCAGGTTGAGGAGAACAAAGCCAGAGGATATAAACAGCTTTACTCTTCTGCTGCCTACATACACATGCTTAATACTTGTCTTCTTACTCCTTCACACTGAGGCAACTGTAAGACTGATTGTTTTAAGAATTACTCTAGCTTTTAAGTAGATTGCTGAACTTTCATACTGTAATCATGCAGAGAATAGATTTATTTCTATATACATATTTAGAACTCCCGAGACAAACTTTGCAGATTCTACTTAGTGATTCTTCCAAGTTTTTTTGTGCCATAGTTTGACGCTGACACCTGTAAGATTTCATCTTACTGCCATGCTAATGCTGAGAGCTGGTCTGGAAGAAGCAGATCAACACAAACAGCAAGTGCAAAGCTTAGTGGCAGGTGCCTTGTCCTCACTGCTTGGGTTCTGTATACAAATGGACTTTTTACTCAACGGTAGCATAATCATGTTCCTCACAGGTCGTTCTCCTGCCTTTCATCCATGCTTGCTGCTGTTGTGGCCTTGGGTAAGTCACAGTTTTTTTTGCAGCCAGATCCTCATCTGATGTAAGTAGGCATGAGTGTAGGAAGGCCAGCACTCTGCCAGGTTGTAACAGTCAGGACCAGGACCTGTGTGTCTGTTCTCATCCCATTTTGAAAATTGTGGTATTAGCACTTACCTACCTCACAAAGATGCTGTAAGGATTAATGCTTATACAGCACTCAGAAGATGTAAAGTGCTATATGTCTCAAATATTAATGTACTGTAGTGATAAAAATACTTCTAGGCATCTGCAGAAGCATGGAATGTGTTACTGCCTTTTTGATTTGCATTAGGCTGAAAGCAAATGAAACATATTTATTCATACCGTCAAACAGGATAGGCTCAGCTACACTTGAACTCTGTGGAGGTTTTAGCTTAAAAATCTGAACTCTAATCTCAGTTTTGCAAATGGATTTTAGTTTATCTAAAAGCCTCAACCAAATTCTTAGATGTGAATTGTGCATCCAGATTTTGCAATCCAGTCTGAACCCTATCTGTTAGCTAGAATGAATCTAATCCAGCCAAAACATAGTGCTCTTACAGACTGCAATGGCTGTTGAAAAGACTGGAACAGAAAACGAAGTCACTCTGTTTAACGTTCAACCTGCAGAAGGTCAGCTAGGTTTCAGGATACAACTTAAAAAGGGATGTTTAATACTGTGATTCTAAGTTTACTGGCTTTAATATCAGCAGAGAGGGAAGGCCTTGATAGAATCAATAAGGTCGACACATCCTCCTTGAATTATTTCCTTTTAACCTGAAACAAAGTAGTAGCAGGTTCTATAGTGAAGGAAGCACTTGTGCCATCAATCCGAGGGCCCAGAACAAAAAGACATCTAAAAATACAGCTCTAAACCATCACCATGTACTCAATGACTATAAAAATGCCACAGTTCACTGGATTCAGATCTGGACTACAGCTAGAAATGACTTGGTTCTGGTAGCACTAGTTGCTGTATAACACAAATGGAAGTGAGATGTTACCCAGGAATGTGAACTGTGTACATGTGAAATGGACCATAATTTTGAAGCAGCTGCAGTAAAATCTTATCTTAATATGAACTCAGAAGCAAACACAATGCAAATTTTCATTGTTTCTTTACAGCATATGATGGATTTTAGTTTTCTTAGTTTGGAGGAAATGTTCTTAATGTTATTTTATTTTTGCTCTTATTGTAAAAAATAAAAATATATGACTCTAGATAGATCACAAATTAAAGAAGGTGGCCAGTTGGCAGGAATGCCAAAATTTCTGTGGCTTGTACTGTTTTTTGTGATGACACTATGCTGCTGTAGGATGAGCCACTGGAGTGGTATGAGGCTCAAAAGGAAGGCTGAAGCATAAGGCCCACTGCGGACTCCCACAGTCAATCTCATGTCAGAGGGATGCAGGGACCAAGCTGCCAAGATTGCAGTGGGAGCAACGACTGGTCCCACGTGGGGACAGACAACGTCAGGAAACAGAAGAAATCTTTTCCTGACAGCCAAAAATCAAGAAATCAAATCCAGCCCATTGCATGAGAGCACCAAGTCAGTACAAGCACATGGGCTTAGACATCACTCTTGTAGGCTTCTGCTGGACCAAATCTCATTCCCAATTCAGCAGGGACATCTTGTTCCAGGCCTACTGCGTGGGCAGGGCCAGGCCAGCAGGAACTATTAAAGAAGAATACATTTGAAAAGAAAGGAACCAACCCAATCAACCAATAACAACAACAACAAAAACAACAACAAACAAACCAGAAACCAAAACAAGAACACAGATGCCATTGGGTAAGCAGTAGTTCTGCCTTGCTGAGACCACAGGAGTGACTGGTCTGTCCTGAATACTAAGTCCATGTCTTGTACAATGTAAGCCTCTTACTCCGGCCCCTCTCCCTGTGTTCCAGACAGAGTGTGCTGAAAGATGTGACCGAAGCAGCTGCTCTCCCCAAGGAGTCAGCATTTTGCCATGTGTGAAAGTCTCCAGCACTTACTTTCTTTACCATGATTGTAAAGGTCACCACAAGCAGTACAGCTACTTGATCTGGGATCTTTTCTTAACATATTTTTATGCTGATTTTACTGTTTTGATTCTTTGTTTGGAATGTATTTTTTTTT